ACTCCTTCCGCATATATATATATATATATATATATAATTGTCATCACAACTTTTTGAACATCATATTATTTTTCATCAACTTCACAGCTGTTTTTTAATAGGCTACAACTGTCCCAAACAGACTCTTAGAAATTGCACCAACATCTTTAGAAAGCATAAACAACTCCGCAACTGAACAGTAACCAGACGAACTCCAATCCCCCCAGAAACATAAAACCTTAAGAGCATAGGAGATACTAAACATATCGTGTTTATTATTATTAATCTTAATTACTCAATAATCACAGAGCTTAATTCATTTAAATCCACATAACAAAAACGTTAAAACCGTGTTGACGAAATTTTGCCAAAAGGCGTTTAGAAAGACAAGTCCAACTCGAAACTGTAATAGCAACTTGAGCCACGCGCCGACCAAAACACAAAGCGGGGCCACCGGCCACATGACTGTTAGCGAAACAAATATGGTCGTCCTTTTATCTTTATTACACACCTTCGGGCCGATTGTAACGGCTAATATGTTAATAAACATATATTTTTTTTTATTTTTCACTTATAAAAGGAATGTTTTTATTCCCAAAAAAAAAAAAAAAAAAAAAAAAGAAAACAAAGGTGATCATTTTTGCAAAATTAAAATTACTTTAAGAAATTTAGGGAATGTTTGGAGCGGTTGCAACTATTTGAAGAAACAACTGTAAAGTCACTGAAGAAGAAATTATTATTCAAAAAGGTTTTGTAACTTATAAAAATTTTCTTAAAAAAAACAGACGACATATTTCTAACAACATTTGCAATTAATTAGTTATGGCGTGAAAACACCGTTTTTAAATTCAGTTTTTTAGAACACAAACAAAATGTTGTTTTGTCAAAAAGGAAATACTGCAGTGCGACATTGCACCACTATTGCACTGTTGCCTTAGACGAATCTTTAGTTGAGAACAAAAAAAATTATTAAAAATTATGAATGATAAAAGGGCACCCAAATCAAGAATTCTATTTCTATTAATCAATATGAAATATTATGTGTAAAATAAGACTCTTTTTGAGGCAATTTATCCGCTTGGAACACCTTCTCATCATTTGGAAACTGCATTTGAACAACTTATCTAAAAATGTAAATGATTTTTTACACTAAACGTAGAATGCAGGTTGCATCCTGCGATTCGAGTTTCCAAATAAATAATTTAACTGAATAATATGTGTTAGGTATGACTCACATATCATAAATAGGATAGATGCTAGAGCGGAGCGGAGCCCACGGGCGAAGTGTAGCGAAATGACCTGTCCAATCAGGAGAGTTTCATTATGTGGGTTGGGGTGCGGGGGCAACACCTGCGGTTTGGTACATGAGTAATTTAAATAATTACATATTGTGCTATATTGTTATATATATGTTTTGTCTGTAAGCCTAAGTGAGCTGAATCTTGTATTCTGTACTCTTTTCTGAATATTGAAAAAAAAGTCGCTGATTTGCTCCCGAGTATGTAGACATCTTTGCCAAATCTCATAAATCTCTGGATGTTCTTCTGAATTTATTTTATTTCTATTTTTATTCGCTCTAATTTATCAACAATATAATATATAATACCATTACATTATTAGATAATATTTGCTCAAGAATGGAAAAGTCGTACCAAACAGCAGTCCTGCTCCCCTGGTCATTTTCCTGGAAAACTCATCTGGTCTTCCCACGCTTCCTCCCCCTCCACCGGCCACCTCCTACTTAAGCTCAACTTCGTCTTCCTCCCCGCATCTCCATTTCCATCCAAAGGTCGAAGCCAGATATACTGCAAGCGGACAGAGAGAGAGAGAGGGAGAGAGAGAGGGAGAGAGAGAGAGAGAGAGAGAATGGTCGCCTGCGCTGTCTTCTCAACCTGGAGCACCACCTCTCCTCTTCCCCACTGCTCTTCCCGGACCCCCACCCGCCGACCCCCTCTCTCAATCACCATCCGCAGCTCCACCTCCGACCACCCCACCACCCTCACCACCACCGCGCCGCCAGCTGACCTCCCCCTGCGCAAAATCCCCGGCGATTACGGCCTACCCTTCATTGGCTCCATCAGAGACCGTTTTGCCTACTTCTACACAGAAGGATGCGATGCCTTCTTCCGCTCCCGCATCAGACGCTACAACTCCACCGTCTTCCGCATCAACATGCCGCCCGGCCCCCTGCTCTCCGCCGACCCCCGCGTAATCGCCCTCCTCGACGCGCTCTCTTTCCCAACCCTCTTCGACACCTCCGCTGTCGAGAAGCGCGATCTCTTCACAGGCACCTTCATGCCCTCCACCGACTTCACCGGCGGCTTCCGCGTCCTCTCCTACCTCGATCCCTCCGAACCCCTCCACGCCCCGCTCAAGAAACTCCTCTTCTTCCTCCTATCACATCGCCGCCGAACCCTAATCCCTGAGTTCCGCCGTACGTTTGGATCTTTCTTCTCTTCTCTTGAATCCGAATTATCTAAGAACGGGAAAGCAGATTTCGGTCCAGGAAACGATCGCGCTTGCTTCGATTTCCTCTCCCGCGCGCTGCTAGGACGCGATCCAGTGGATTCAGCGCTCGGATCAGATGCCCCGGGGATTATCACGAAATGGGTTTTGTTCCAGCTTGGCCCATTGCTTACCATCGGGTTACCGGGGATTATCGAGGAGGCTACTCTCCACTCCTTCCGCCTACCGCCGGCGCTTGTTCGATCCGATTACACCCGACTAGTCGATTTCTTCCGCGAATCCGCCGGTCCAGTGCTCGACGAGGCCGATCGGCTAGGGATCTCCCGCGAGGAAGCCGTGCACAATCTCGTCTTCTCTGTCTGCTTCAATTCTTTCGGCGGTATGAAGATCCTCTTCCCCAATATCGTCAAATGGCTCGGCCGCGCCGGCGGGCAGCTCCCCC